AGGTAATTTCGCGTTTTTCATTTCATTTGTTTTCCGTGCCCTCCCAGGAACATGATGTAGTTGTTTTACAGGGGCCGTAAGGTATGCTCTCCTGTTCGGGGCTGGGACGCCCCGATTCGGGTCTCTTTCTTTCTGCTCTACCCTATAGCATCTATCTCTCTGCTCTTCCCGAGAGCATACTTCACGGGGAAGGGAACCCTCCCCTGTTCGGGGGAGCATACCTTACGGCCCCAGGTGTTCGATGGGTTTAGTCTAATGCCTGAACGTTTTCGTCTGTGATTTTGATTTCCTTTTTTACTCTCTTGTCTATGTGGTATCCGGTTCAACTTTCATTGTTGTAATCATTAATATCCATTCTTTGCTAGCGTACTGCCGAGGCCTCCGGGATATCCGTTTGCCCCTAGTAAGCCTTGCCAGTTTTTCCTACAGAGAGAGGAGAAACTATTTTTTACCCACTTACACTAAGATGAGGGTAATTTTGCGTTCCATCTCCTATTCTTATTCATCTAGATTAAACAAGTGAGTACACAGACTGTGATTCAATATCGTTTTTGATGTGCATCTTTATTTGTGCTACCATTTTGTTCGTGCTTTTCGTGCTAGCACGGAAAGTGCGGCCTATATTGTATAATACTTTTACTGGCAAATACCCAGCCTCGAAACTTGATTTCGGTGCATTTGGGTTTTTAGGTGTTCGGCGGGCGATCATTGCCAGATGAGGCGGAGATGGACACAATTGGTGTACGCGCTGGCTCAACATTGAAACTACTAGTGGTAGCAAAATCAGGTCCATTGACTGGAAGGGAAAGGGACGAGCAGCTGCTGCTCAGCGATGATGTGAGCGATCGCGAGCACAGGCGACAAAGCCGAAGGTAGATGTTGTTAGGCTTGATTTTTCAGCTTCCAAAGGCGTTGCACTACTTAAAAACATTGTCTGTTTAGGGGATGCAGCGCTGCTGAAGACACAAGTGCCAAGGAAAGCAGTGCTGGTGAAACCGAGCGGGAACATGATGTGGATGATGAACGAAAATTGGCAAGGGTTGCAGGTACCTCGGCCAATGTCAACTCTAGGCATATGCGTCGTACCCGAACGAATAGTCAAGGTGCTCCAAAAGGTGGGTACGATAGAAGTCTTCTTCTCAATATTGTTGCAGAAGTTATGCTTGAGGGAAATAGTGAGTGAACATCGTGGGTGAGCTGTAGATAACAACCGCTAAGCGACTCTTCCTTTGACTGTCTCTCAGTGCCGCCCTTTAGAGCGCTTTAATCTCATTGGTTGCATTTATACTACAGCGTCAGCCGTTGATCGAAATCCAGGAGATCGATAACTTTTGCCGTGTTAGATAAGTTTCGTGCGGTGAAAAGCTGATTTTTCGCCTTGCTTTTTTCGTACATTTACTGTATAGCAATTTCCTTTAGACGCGGCTTCATTTTTCGAAAATTATTTTTCTTATTTTTCTCTAATCTAATGCTAACTGCTGCTGTTGCTTTTACGTTACGTGATTTGTGATCATCCTTGTGATTCACAGTAAAGTTAAAAGCCTTGAAGTGCGGTTTTTTCTCGGATGCTCATAGAGGCCTTAAACGAAGCACGGTTCATGGCCTTGCGAGTTATCGATCGACATGTGACGCCGGCGGCGTCGTCTATAGTATGTGTGGGACTATCCTAGCGCCATCTTTGTATTCAAAGATTTTCCAAAACCTTGTGTTGTGTGGTTCCCGAGGCGTAAAGGACTTTGTAATACTATTTATTTTCAGATCTCCCTTCATTTACTGAAGGCTGCTCATCTTTGGTCAACGTTACCGTTCCTCAAACAAGCTCTGCGGTGTCCAACTCTCTCGGTGCGCTTACGGAAGCGCTCGAAAAGCTGGAGGTATTCGTGTTTTGTGTTTCTGATTGTTACACCTTAATACAGACAGAGAAATGGGGACGATACTTCTTAATGTTTCAGAATTTGCGGGTTGATTCGCCGACTGGTGATGAGGTGCTGTCCGAAGATCCTTCCGAGTTATCGTCTGGCATGATTGTATGCGATTTGACAAATGAGTTCCGTCGACAAAAGGTTTGCTTTACTTCAGATTACTGGCTTTCCTTATTCTTCCTTTGTTTTTGATACCTCTTTTGTTTTATGCGAATATCCGGCATCAGCATAAGTAAATGTGATGAATTTTGCATTCCGCCAGTGCTAGCCTTGAGTAAAGTGGTACAGTGGCACACTGTTCGCCATCGCAAAAAAATTTACTTAGTGACTAGCCTCGAATATCGCAGCGCCTGATGGAATGGCTCCTCCAAGGGCAAAGGACAATAAAGCAACTGCTGAATTGTCCTGAACGCTTTTATACTTTTGAAAATTAACGATAGGTCTTTTCACATAGGCTATCGCCTTCTGCTTATGTTCGCGCTTACCCGCTATGATTTGTCGATATTCAAAGGTTTTGCAATTGAAACCCATTTTTTTGCGTTCAAATATAATTTCCTGTTTGTTATAACTGTTATCTTCCACCAATTTATTTATCCAGTTATAATACTTTACATCACAGGTGAGGCGACATCGGCATCCCCCTGCACCGTCGACATGTCGTCAACGTGCTCGAAGCAAGCCACGTATAACCCATCGTGAACGATCGTCATCTGATGACAACGAAGCTAGTCAAGCTGAACCAGTTGCATTTGCGGTGAGTCCCTTAATCATCATAAGCGTTCATATTCGTTTAGTCATTTACTTTCTCAGTAGGGTCTGTTCCGTACAATTGATGGTGGTTATTTGTTTTAGTTACCGGTTCGTCGCGGGGTTTCAACAAGAGCCGTACGATCAATGGCAATGCGTGGCGGAGCGGCACGTTGCAATGTCTGCGCTTTTCGCATCAATAGCGCATTCAATTGCAGGTACCACTGTTTTTATTGTTTTTCAAGAATTACGGTCTTCATTATTGCGAATATTTTTTTAATCATTAATTACAATGTTGCACTTTCCGGTAAAGATATGACTTTACCTTTTTATCTATGATCTGAATAACATGTGCTAATAATGGTTGGCTCTACTCCGCAGTGGCAAGATCTCAAACTTTTGTCTTCGATTCGGTTGCTTCGCTGCCTTGCAATCCCACCGAGAGAGCGAACCTGCCTCTTTAAGTAAACAAAAAAACCAAATGTTAGTGTTACCAAATAAATATACTCCGAGCCCTAGCCACCTGGTTGCACCAACCGGTGCTTCGAAGCACCATCTTGGTTGAAGAGTCAATTATAAGACAACACCCGGGTTAATCAGTTAGATTCAGTCAGTAAGTTGGTTGTGAAAGCCCAAAGTTCATGGAAAGCTTCTGATATCTTGTCCTCAAGCGACCTCTTTATCGTCCGACCGATCATCGTGAGATTGAAGGCTAGACTGACTAGAGCTACGTTCATTACACTAATACCGCTACATGACGTTCTTTCCGAATACTTGTTTTAATCAACATTTCTCAGTGTAGCGACAATGTGATATTAACTGTTCTGTAATTGTAATAATAATAATTATATTCGTTAATCATTTAGTTTTGTTTAGGTGTGGCAAAACATTATGCTCCCGGCATCGTGCTGCCCAGTCACATACGTGCTCGAAAATTCGTGCAAAACTGCAACAGGTCAGCGACTGAAGCTGTCTCTTCCCTGCCATTCGCGAAATCCGAGAATCTGGTCACTGCTACGATTATACAAAAGGTCGCTTTAATGTTTCAAGGTGGAATCAGCTCTGGTGTTTTATCTTACGAACTCTATCTTATGGGGGGTCCGTGACTTGAACTGTCCAGATATTT